AAAAAAATAGATCATAACTAAATTTATACTATTTTTAAGCTAAAATTGTTACACGAACTCTACAGCTTAAGGGATATGAAATAGCATGCCCCATAATTTTGAATACGATAATTAAGTATCAGTATTGTTAGTCCTTTTACAAACATATATAGTCGTACTTCTCTACAATCACACAGTTAGGCATATAGAAATTTTTTTCAAAACATAAGTTGTAAAATAAATTATAGTTTGGCCTATACATAAATGTAATTACATATGGAGTAATTATATAAGAGATAACTATATAGAGGGATGACTATAATTGAAACCAAAACCATATTATATAAAGTTTATTCATCATAAATATTAAATATTGTGAAGTGGCTATCTTGGTAATTCATGAGATGTTCTATATTAACATTAAAGAGATTAACATTTTTGGTATTATACCTTATTCAAAATTAAAGAGTAATTTCAAACTTTGTTATGTGCATTAAAAGTTTGAAGTTACTCTCTTGATTTTATTAAATATATTATATTAAAAATGTAACTTTTTATATCATCCAAAGTTATGTTTATCAAGGTTATGGTTTATCAGAACTATTTTTGCCAGAATTACTAGAATTTAATTTACCAGAATTAATTCTTTCAAAATTATGTTACCAGGGTTATAAATTAATTCTACAAAAATTATATCAACCAGAGTTATAATTAACTCTACCAAAATTTTGTTTACTAAAGACAGAATTATAAAATTACTATAAGTTACCAAAAAAATATATGTTATCTAAAGTAGGACCAGAAATCATATTATAGGTTTCTGCTATAAAAAATTTGGATAAATTAAACCAATTGGATATATCTAAATAAATAGAGGATCTAACATTTTATATTAAACTTTGGATTCAGAATTCTAAAGAAAATATAAATCGAATTTAATGATTGATCATTAGTTATATTGTAACTATATAATAGCTATATGGTAAACATATATGTCATGTGTATATTTTGGCACTGGTAAATGCTGAACTAAAGCATATAACTAATCTGCTAAATTGTGAAATTATAGAATATTTTAAATATTTGACACAACTAATATATATAAATGGTTTTATTAATATAATTAAAAAAATATGATGTTTTCTAGTATTTGACATTTTTTATATACATTATTTTACTTATTATCACTAATACAATGATTAAAAGCTAATATGCAAACTTAATTTGATGCCAAAAATATGATACGTGATCATATGATTTTGCAGTCCTACAGGTCTGTGAAGTTATGTAACATATTGGTCAATGTACTGTAACAAATTTCTTATTTTATTGAATACACTTAAAAAAATACTAATGAAAAATTTTCTGATTGTGTTAAATAGATAATTTACATTGTTTTGATTTTCATCAATCTGACTAATAGAAAAATTTATAATTTAGATAATTTACGTTGTTTTGATTTTCATCAATCTAACCAATAGAAAAATTTATAATTTATTTGACCAATATGGTAATTTACATTTATATTAAGTAATTCAATAAGCCTCCATGTTCCTACCCAATATCTTTGTTCATGCCTTTTACTAATTCTTAAAATCAATTTGACCTTTTCTTTCACAAAACCACACAAGGTTTTGTGAGTTGGATACTTATTCTTATCTTGTTTATACTCTTCTGCCAGCATTACAAGCAATGTTAAGTATACACCCTAAGCTTATACAACAATTTTAATATTTTCTCTTTGACTTCTATCTTTGTAGACTTAAGTTGACCATACTGTGAAGCCCATTCTTTAAAATAATTCTCCAATAATTCCATATTGAGTGAATAAGAAGGTAATGGTGGAAAAGAAAAATTAATAACATTGATATCATTAAAAAGGTGACTAAAATTTGTAATCAAAAGATCTTCTATTGATTTGTTCTTTAAAAAAAGTTTATTGGCATACACTATTAATTGATTTTTTTGTTCAATTTCAAAGTTATTTTTTAAGAGTTGTGCCTTATTTTTTTCAATTTCATTAATAGTAGCTATGGAATTTATTTAAAAAAAAAAAACATTAACTTTAAACTTTCAAATAAATCATTTTTGCGATAACTTACTGCTTATTTGCATTTCTTCGGTTATATCATTTGTATCTGATGACGTTGATTCATCTTCTAGTTATCAATAGAAAATATATCAATTTAACTACACTAAATTTGAAAATAACAGTTCATGTACCATCAGAGTTAGCTTCAGATGATGAGGTGCACTGTATTTGTATTCTTTCTTTTTTGTTATGTTTATTTATTTGGACCTTCCATTTTCTTTTTTTTGATTTCTTTAAAAAATTTTTTCTTATAAATATGAAGAATGATTTTATAAATTTAATCAAGGTTTCTTACCAATTTCTCAACATGCAAAGGTTTACTGTTCTTTTCCAGGGGCAGTGAATCATCAGACTGTTCCTTGAATTTCGTGCTAAGTCAGAAATATTCAAATATTAAGTTTTTGAAAAAACAATTTATACCTGTTAATTGTCGGCTTCTACTTGAATTTCAAATAGTTATTCATTAACTTTCGATGATTTACTATTATCATCAATAATCTCATTCTCAGAGTCATTAATTTGTGATGAGCTTCCTTGCTAAGGTTTAAAACTTAATAATTAAATATCTGATATTTTCAAAATACCAACTCATTTAAAAATATTTATTTACTTGATCCTTGTGGATATTTTCTCGAAAATTCACAACTTGCTAAAGAAATCCAGCTTTAAGTTAGCATAGACAAAATTTAAAATTAAAAATTAAAAAAATTTTTACATTTCTTTTCGTTGCTTTAAAAAATTTGCTTATAGATTTTCAATTATCTTCGCTTTGTTTGGCTGTATTTGCTTTCTTTTTTTAATTTTATTAATGATTATTGAAGCATTCAATTGTATTGATTTTTTTATAATAACATCAATAGATTAACTTAAAGTTTAAAAATAGAAAATTTTTACAATATTGTCACTTGGAATTAAAACGATGAGATATTTACTTGACACATTTATTATTTCAACATATGTATGCTTTAAATTATCAAAAAAAAAACAGTTAAATTGTTATCTGCTAAATTCGATTATTAAATACGTAGATTTTTACCTGATTATCTTGAGAATCAATTTGTTCATTATATCGGTCTAGAGACACTACAGATTGCTCTTGTGGTGATACCTGATTATCGAACATTGATTCATCCTCATTTATCTTTATTATTATTATTTTAATACAAATTCATTATCACTATGTACAACTTAATATTTTTTTATTTTTTATTTTTTATTTTTACCTGGTTTTTCTCCGTGTGTTCAACATAATTCGTTTGTGCCATAGCTTCTGAACGAGAATTCTAGAACATTTTTGAGTATTTTTCTAAAATTAAAATAATAAACAAAATTTTGAATTACCGGTATTACCTCTTCCAAGGAAACATTATTAAGCAAATCATGAATATCGCTATGAATAGGTTCATCTGCTATCCTTTGGTAACTTTTTCCGTTTAAAAGAACAGTGCTTGGTACGTCCAGATTCTTGATTGTTGTACAACCATGGTTTAAGGTAGTTGTAAATTCTAAAGAACCATTGAATGTTGCTGATGAATTGTCATCCCAAAACAATTTAATCGAGATGTTGATAATTTCTTTTTCGACTATTGTAACTTGAAAATTTTTTTGCGAGAAAAATAAAAAAAGGGTTAAATGACTATTTTAACTTTTTAATGATTTTTTTGGCTGATGTATTTTAACCTTTTGGCTATTATTAATGATTTCACTCTGCGTAATCTAAATATGATAGTTTTTTAATCAATTATAAAGTTTATCATGAATGACAAAACTATGAATTTTTTTTTTCATTTCTCATAATGTTCAAATGTCCTGCTTTCATCTTTTTTTTCTCTTTTATAACAAATATCAGCATGATTAATTGTAGTTTTTTGTAATAAACGAATACTTTTTTTTATTCCTTTTGATTATAATTCCATATTTATAATGATAACAAATACCAACATTATTACCTAAGGGTGTTCTCAAGTGCCTTAGTCAATCGATCGGAATAGGGTCGGGGGCAAATTTTAATTAATAAAAAATTGGG